CACAACCACAACCACAACCACAACCACAACCACAACCACAACCACAACAACAACAACAACAACAACAACAACAACAACAACAGCAGCAACAGCAACAACAACAACAACAACAACAACAATTAAAGGACCGGATAACCCCACATGCTATGTTTTTCCCAAATGTCCACACACATGTACCGTGCGCCCCTTGTATGGATGCGATTACAGAGCACCCAGATGCACAGAATGCAGCGCCTGCCACGACTTCGGCAACGGCATCGCCAAAGTGCTGCGCCTGCCACGATTTCGCAACGGCATCGCCAAAGTGCTGCGCCTGCCACGATTTCGCACACCCCCCGCCGCGCGCGCGACAACATCCTGTCCCTCTAGACAGCTGCCGAATGCGACCCCTGCCACACAAACACACACCCAGATGCACAGAATGCTGCGCCTGCCACGACTTCGGCAACGGCATCGCCAAAGTGCTGCGCCTGCCACGATTTCGCAACGGCATCGCCAAAGTGCTGCGCCTGCCACGATTTCGCACGCCCCCCGCCGCGCGCGCGACAACATCCTGTCCCTCTAGACAGCTGCCGAATGCGACCCCTGCCACACAAACACACACCCAGATGCACAGAATGCTGCGCCTGCCACGACTTCGGCAACGGCATCGCCAAAGTGCTGCGCCTGCCACGATTTCGCAACGGCATCGCCAAAGTGCTGCGCCTGCCACGATTTCGCACGCCCCCCGCCGCGCGCGCGACAACATCCTGTCCCTCTAGACAGCTGCCGAATGCGACCCCTGCCACACAAACACACACCCAGATGCACAGAATGCTGCGCCTGCCACGACTTCGGCAACGGCATCGCCAAAGTGCTGCGCCTGCCACGATTTCGCAACGGCATCGCCAAAGTGCTGCGCCTGCCACGATTTCGCACGCCCCCCGCCGCGCGCGCGACAACATCCTGTCCCTCTAGACAGCTGCCGAATGCGACCCCTGCCACACAAACACACACCCAGATGCACAGAATGCTGCGCCTGCCACGACTTCGGCAACGGCATCGCCAAAGTGCTGCGCCTGCCACGATTTCGCAACGGCATCGCCAAAGTGCTGCGCCTGCCACGATTTCGCACGCCCCCCGCCGCGCGCGCGACAACATCCTGTCCCTCTAGACAGCTGCCGAATGCGACCCCTGCCACACAAACACACACCCAGATGCACAGAATGCTGCGCCTGCCACGACTTCGGCAACGGCATCGCCAAAGTGCTGCGCCTGCCACGATTTCGCAACGGCATCGCCAAAGTGCTGCGCCTGCCACGATTTCGCACGCCCCCCGCCGCGCGCGCGACAACATCCTGTCCCTCTAGACAGCTGCCGAATGCGACCCCTGCCACACAAACACACACCCAGATGCACAGAATGCTGCGCCTGCCACGACTTCGGCAACGGCATCGCCAAAGTGCTGCGCCTGCCACGATTTCGCAACGGCATCGCCAAAGTGCTGCGCCTGCCACGATTTCGCACGCCCCCCGCCGCGCGCGCAACAACATCCTGTCCCTCTAGACAGCTGCCGAATGCGACCCCTGCCACACAAACACACACCCAGATGCACAGAATGCTGCGCCTGCCACGACTTCGGCAACGGCATCGCCAAAGTGCTGCGCCTGCCACGATTTCGCAACGGCATCGCCAAAGTGCTGCGCCTGCCACGATTTCGCACGCCCCCCGCCGCGCGCGCGACAACATCCTGTCCCTCTAGACAGCTGCCGAATGCGACCCCTGCCACACAAACACACACCCAGATGCACAGAATGCTGCGCCTGCCACGACTTCGGCAACGGCATCGCCAAAGTGCTGCGCCTGCCACGATTTCGCAACGGCATCGCCAAAGTGCTGCGCCTGCCACGATTTCGCACGCCCCCCGCCGCGCGCGCGACAACATCCTGTCCCTCTAGACAGCTGCCGAATGCGACCCCTGCCACACAAACACACACCCAGATGCACAGAATGCTGCGCCTGCCACGACTTCGGCAACGGCATCGCCAAAGTGCTGCGCCTGCCACGATTTCGCAACGGCATCGCCAAAGTGCTGCGCCTGCCACGATTTCGCACGCCCCCCGCCGCGCGCGCGACAACATCCTGTCCCTCTAGACAGCTGCCCTGAGTCAGCGAGTGTGAGTGAGTGAGTGAGCGAGTGAGTGAGTGAGTGAGTGAATGAGAGTGAGTGAATGAGAGTGAGTGTGAGTGAGTGAGTGTGAGTGAGCGTGAGTGAGTGAGTGAGTGAGTGAGTGAGTGTGAGTGAGTGAGTGTGAGTGAGTGTGAGTGACTGAGTGTGAGTGAGTGAGTGTGAGTGAGTGTGAGTGAGTGAGTGTGAGTGAGTGAGTGTGAGTGAGTGAGTGAGTGTAGTGAGTGAGTGAGTGAGAGTGAGTGAGTGAGTGAGCGAGTGAGTGAGTGAGTGAGTGAGTGAGTGAGTGAGTGAGTTGAGTGAGAGGAGACGAGACGGCGAGGAGGAGGAGGAGGAGACGCGGCGCGCGGACGACGAGCGGAAAAAGTAAGAACCCCACACAAAGATGTGGGGAAGGGAACAACAACAACAACAACAACAACAACAACAACAACAACAACAGCAACAACAACAACAACAACACAACAACAAAACAACAACAACAACAACAACAACAACAACAACAACCTCGACAACCACAGCCAGAGGCACAGCCACAACCACCACCACCACAACAACCACCACCACCACCAACAACAACAACAACAACAACAAGGACAACCACAACAACAACACCACCAACTCCACCACCACCACCACCACCACCAACAACAACAACAACAACAACAACAAACAGCAACAGCACAGCACAGCAACAGCAACAGCAACAGCAACAGCCACAGCCACAGCACAGCCACAGCCACAGCCACAGCCACAGCCACAGCCACAGCCACAGCCACAGCCACAGCCACAGCCACAGCCACAGCCACAGCCACAGCCACAGCCACAGCCACAGGCACAGCCACAGCCACAGCCACAGCCACAGCCTCAGCCACAGCCACAGCCACAGCCACAGCCACAACCACAACCACGACAGGGACAGCCACAGCGACAGCGACAGCGACAGCGACAGCGACAGCGACGGCGACAGCGACAGCGACAGCGACAGTGACAGCGACAGCGACAGCGACAGCGACAGCAACAGCAACAGCAACAGCAAAACAACAGCAGCAGCAGCAGCAGCAGCAACAACAATAACAACGGCAACGGGAACGGCAACAGCAACGAGAACGACAACAAGAGCGCAACGAGAACGACAACGAGAACGCAAACGAGAACCAGAACGAGAACCACAACCAGAACTACAAGAACAAGAGCAAGAATAGTAACAACAAGAGCAGCTGCAACAGCAGCAGCAACAACAACAACAACAAAAACAACAGCAGCAGCAGGAACAGGAACAATAGGAGCCGGAACAGCAACAATAGCAAGAGAACGACGACGAACAGGCGAAAAACGTCAGCCAGAACATACCAGCAGCAAGGACAAAAACAATCGCAATAGCAATGCCGAGCAGAAGCCGCAACAACAATAGCAACAGCAACAGCAAACCAACAATGGCCTGAATATGTCGTTCAGTCCATCTCCAGGGGAGGCAGCTGGCCCTGTTGCTTGCGCTGAGCGGGCGAACGAGAGTGGCGGACCGGCTACGATGCCAGAGACCGTGGAACCCGAGCAGCCTGCTGTGAGTGAAAGCTGTGAGGCAGGGCCAAAGAGTAAGGAGCAGGTCGAGGAGGCTGGGAAAGAGGTTGAGAAGGCTGGCAAGGCTGAGAAGGTTGCCGCGGAGCAGGTTTCTGAGGAGAAGCTTTCTGAGCAGCTTGCGGAGACGCTCCCGGAGAAGCTCGATGAGGTGAAGCCCGGATTTGGGGACCGGGTTGGGGAGGCCGATGAAGCGCTTGACATCGGTGAGGGTGAGAGAAAGGTTGAAGAGGAGAAGGCTCAAGAGGACATGGCTGGCAAAGCCAGCGAGAGGGAGCCAGAGCTGGTGGAGGCTTCGGCCCAGGCAGGGCTGGGTTTAAGGGCAAGCGGTATCGAAGCTTGACAGGTCTGGCTGGCGAGCCGTCGTAATGTTGATTTCGGATTAATACGCCTCCGGTTATTGATAGCTGGCACCCCGTCTTTGGCGGAATCCTTCACTTTCGACACAGCTTAAGGCTGCCAGCCTCCAATTCCCTAAGTCGGGGTTGTTGTTTTTTGGTTTGCAGGACGGTGGCGACATTGTGGACACATGGCTCATCAATGACAAGCCGGCAGTGGGTCCCCAAAGTCGCAGTGACTTTGACCCCACTCTTAGATCCCCACCTGCCCCTGGATATTGCAGGTCCAGATGAGTTGTCACAACAGCAGTTTGCGCCATGACTCGCCAGCGAATAAGAATCCTTTTGCCTTTACCCCTTCGACACTTCGGGAAAATAGTGTGCCTTGTTTTGTGACGTGCCCGCTGGCTTCCGCGGTTGATGTATGCATTTCTGGGCTCAAGCTGAGCTAAGGTCCGTGAGCAGTTTGCCGTGCCTGTGCCAGTGGCCCAGTTCTTGCTGCGGGGGTTGGGGTAAGCACTGGTTGGATGGTTTGATTAGTCTGCAGTCTGCCTGTTTTTGGGCGAGGTCACCCATTCGATATTTGTTCGCTTGTTTAGGATATTCAGGATATTCGGGTATTTGAGGGCATTTGCAGATCCCCGAAAAGGACGAGACAATACTTGGCGGCAGTTTGTCTTGGCACAACGGTTCGTGAAGGTGCGCTTGCCGAGCGAGGAAGTGAGCGGCCCAAGCTGCAAGCATTGCCTAGTGTTTTGACGCGCTGGCTGTTGAGAGTGCGTGGGGATACTCCCAAAAAGTGAAGGATTCCCTCTCAATGGGGACACCAGCTGTTAAGCAACCAGTATGAAGGCTTATGGGTCACCAGTACACCAGTACTCGGCAGGTTGCCTTCGGAGTTAAGCAAGTGGCCATGAGCCTTGCAACTCAGGGTGCCTTGCGGTCTGCCTTTCGACGCATGGTTCCGCTTGCTACCCCCGTTGGTGGGCTCCAAAGAACAGTGGGCGTGTCTCTTTATTGAAGGATCGCTTTGACTTCCTTTTAGAACCAGCCCCAAAAGGTGCTCCCAAGAACAGACACGCCCAAATGTCCCAACCAAAGCCCTACCCGGACCGCATGAAAACCACATCCAAATCAGCGTAGCAGGCCCCAAGGAAAGCACCTTTTGGGCTTCCTCTTGACAGGGGTACGCCTCAAAATTGTTTAATGTTGGAACATGTGGAAACATGTACTGTGTAGGCAATGCTTGGCCAACATGGCGTATATGCCATTTTGGCTCAAGCATTGCCTTGGGTTTGTTGTGAACCCTCCCTAGTTTAAAAACACCCATTGCAATGGCCTCTTCGGTGTCTACCGTGTCTTCGTTCGAGCTGGTGGAGGAGCAGCAGGTCACGGAGGCGGATGTGGCGATGGCCACCCAGGAGGCGCAGGAAACGCGCGACCAGGAGGCAGCAGTGGCCGCAGGCTTGGTGTTGGCGGAACCTTCCACCCCCCCGGAGGGCACGGCAGCGGACGTGGTGGATAGCCTCTCCAAGGCCCTGGAGCACCTGCAGTTTATGCTCGACCGCCCCGAGTCCGGCAAGAATACCTCCGGCCCCGCGGACGAGGGTGACGTGGATATGGGCGATGCGGTACCCAGTGACGAAGCCCCGCAGGCCAAGAAGATGAAAGGATTTGTGGCGGCCTCGAAACCCAGTCACGCGGTGGAGAACAAGCTAGTCACCCTCGAACCGGTGGTGAGCAAGGCTGGTTACTTCAAGGTGGTGGACCTCCCGGACGCCTTCCCGCTGCTGCCGGCTTCAGCCGCGGCTTTGCTGCGGGACACAACGGTGCTGGAAATGGGCCCTCTTCCACAAGTTTGTCGGCAAGGGCCTCACGGAGGACTTGGTTCTCCGCATCTTGGAGGCCTATGTCCCGATGAAGATCCAGCTCCGGCAGGAGGAGGTGTGGCGCTCGCAGTTCCAGCAAAATAAGGTGGGGATTGGCGCCCAGCGCATGCGCAGGCTGGATGCCGGGCAGGCAGACTACGACCGCATGTGCAAGTCGTGCGGCACTGGGTGGCCGGAGGCGGCCAAGCTGTGTTGGGTTTGCCCGGGCTTGGAGTCCGTTCCATACCAGGCGCCTTCGGCCACCTACGAGTCCGAGGGCATCACCTACCACTTGCGGATCTTGGACAGCAAGCCGGTCTGGTTCCAGCAGCAGGACGGGGGAAGCCAGGGTGCCTCCGGCCCCGGCGAATCCCAGAAGGCAGCGGACCGGAAGTTGGTGGATGGCTCCAATCTGGGGAGGCCCCCACCGAAGACGGACTCTATGGACGAGATCACGATGGCGGACGTGGTTCCCTTGGACAAGCGGGTGGACATCAGGCAGGAGATCCTCACGATGGATGCGGATGCGGAGGCCACCAAGATCCAGGCGGACCACCGGGTGCGGGTGAAAGTGCAGCGGTCCCTCCAGGAGGCGGAGGCCCAGAGCTTCAAGCTCTACCACCCCCAGATCGATGCGGTGATCAAGAAGAAGGCCGCACTCCAAGAGGTCCTGGCCAGAAAGTTGGCCCCGGAAGAGGTGGCGGCAAGGAAGTTGCACAAGGAGATCATCACGGACGAGCTTCTGGACAATGAGATGGCGGTCCTTGCCCCGATCCAGGAGGGCATGCAGTCCGTGCCGGCGGACGAGGTGGCAAACGCGGGGTTCTCCGCCCTCCGGAAGGTTATTCCGGGAAAAGCTCAGGGAGCAGTACCTGGGCAAAGCACTCACGGAGGCCATGGGCTTGGTCACGGAGGCCCAGGCGGACTCCTCCAGCGCACTCCTCTTCGCTTTGAGGCGGTGGAGTTCATCCACGTTCAGCATGCCAAAAGTCTTGAAGTACCACTTGAGGGTGTTCCAGACCTGCCTCAGTTTGTAAGGAGTGACGCTTTTGCCATGGAGTCACCGTGAAACCCTTCTTCCTGAGGTTCTCGTATGCCAGGCAATGCTGCCGTAGCGCCCGGAACCTAGTGTCCCCCAGCAGGTCCAGGGCCTCCTTCCGGAAGTCCTCCCCCAGGAGGTCCTTCAGGTGGGGGATGTGTTCCGCAAACGGGACCAAGTGAGCCAAGGAGCCACTCCGCCCACTTCCCCCGTAGGTGGAGCTCCAGGGCCCGCTGCGTCGTGGGCTCAATTTCCCTGACTCTGCTGGGTCGCCAGTGACGCCACTTGAGAAATTCTGGTTGCTGAAGTGGGGGCGGCAAGTACCATCGCAGTGCGGTATGTTTCCCAGTGGGCTTGCCCTCTGACGCCGCGTGGAGCAGGTTCCACATGTTATCCCACAGGTCCGCCAAGTCATCTGCCGACAGCGGTTGAGGAAGGCGTTTTGCCGCCGCTGTGACCAGGCTGTTGAAGTAGTCCGACGGAACCAGATGGTCCTCCGGTCCCTGTGAAATGTCCGAGTCCTCCAATATCCGAGAGAAGATAACGGCTGCCTCCCCTCCGAACCTGCGTACCTCCTCTGGGGTACCATGACGCAGGCGCATCAGGACCATCAGTTCCCCATCCGTCTGCCTCGGGGAGAAGGATTCGTCAGACAGCGTGTCCCATAGTACCCACGGGATCCGGTCCCATAGCCGCGTAAACGGTGGCCTCATACGAAACTGGGTTGAGACCCTGGCAATGACATCAGAACCTTGAGCCATCCTTGAGCCAAGCAATCTCCTTGCCCTAATGTTACAGCGTATCATGTGCAGCTCAAAGTGCAGTGGCAGGCAGAGTGCAGTTGCTTGCAGTGCGCAATATCTGCAGGCATGACAGGTTCAGATCCAAAATGTTTGGGTCAGTAGAAGCAGAGCGGGAAAGAAAAGGGATCCCCAGACCCAAAAACCCCCACCCAAAAGCCACAGGAAAGGGGGGGGGAAAGGGGCCCGAAACCCCGTTGGAACGGAGGGATCCCCGCCCGACCGTTCGCGCCGCCTTTCGTTACTTTTTCTCCGCGGGGCGTGGGGCACGGCATGCCTCGACAGCTGTCTGCGAGTCAAAGGGAGATCCTGCGGGCGCCTCCGGAGTAACAGGGATCCCTTACGCCAAAAGGCCAAGAGGCAACTCAAACCAACCCACATCAAACACAAAAGACAAACAAGCCTCCCCCTCGGGACGGGGCCGGAGGCACCCAGTCCCATGGAAAAGTGATCCTCCAAATCCCTGCGCGTCTCAGGGCACCGGAAGCAGGAAGTGGAAAATTTCATTCCCCCTCAGGATGGCCTGCTTCGCCACCGACTGGATGGCCGTCAAGCCCGACTTCTCCGGGTTGCTCAGGATGACCGTCCACAAGGCGGGGGGCTCGCATCCCCCCAGACCAGTCGCTCGTCCCGAGGCGGCTCCGTGGGCTGTACCGCTTGTAGAACTCCATGCGGTCCTTGATCCATTGGTTGTACAGCGCCTCCGGGCGCTCGTCCACCACCAGCTGCAGGCACGTCGCCTTGTCCTTGTGCCACCCCGTGATCTGCAACAGCCGGGAGCCACCCCGCCTTCCAGAAGCCACGGCAAAACCGGCACATGTAGCCCCCTGTTGTCTTGAACTTCTCCTTGCTCACAACCTCCCAGGCACTAATGCTGGGCAGGACCAAGCCACACTCCACCGATCCCCAGAACACATGCTCTGCCTCCTTCGGGAAGTGCTTCTTTATGTAGTTCGTCCCCGCCACTGCCGTCACCGTGGCCGTGGTGATGGGCGGGTAGCGCCGTGTGCCCTGGTCCGTGGACCTCAGCGCGGACACCCGCGCCCGCCATGATCTTGGCCTTCGGGTCCGCCTCCTTGGCCGCCGCCCCCCCAGGGCCGGAGGCACCCTGGGGGGGGGAGCAGCCCAGCTTCACGATCTGGTCGTGGGAATAGCCCAGCTTGTCGTACATCCAGGGTGAGACTCCCGGCAGGCAGTGACAACCAGGGCAACGTGATGGCAATGCCCTACACCGCGGCTATCCTGATGGAGCTGGTACTCCTGCTACACAGGCACGGATGCTCTCTGGCAGTCAATCATGTGCCTCGTGAATTCAATATGTGGGCGGACGAACTAACCCACCCTGATTTTGCAGGATTTGATCAGTCGCACAGAGTTCCGAAACCGGAACTGTGTGAAGATTTTACCTTTCTTCCGCGTCTCCTAAATGGAGATACGTTTGACCGAAGCGCGGACCCACCCAAGCTCCCGTGACCTGACTCACTTTCCTTAGGTGGCAGACTCCCTGAGGCCTGGGTGCCTCCGGCCCCGGCCGAAGGGGGGCGCAATCAGTCTGCACACCGGTTATTTTCCTGTCCAGGATTTTTGAAGTGGGTGGCACGGAGGACCACGCAACCTGGAACTCATGAAAGGGAAGATGAGTCCCTGGCACCAACACAATGCTTGGATAAAAGAGTTATCGCCTGCTTGTGTTGTGCCGTTTGGTCAGCTTGCATACACTGTTGGACGTGCATGGCAAGTTCGGGCTGAAGCGTAGCCCAGGGGTTAACAACACCTTCAACCAAGTCGAGCACTGGCGACATACACCTGAGGAATACAATTTTAATTTCCTTTTGCAAGGACCTTCCGTCAGGAGCCGTATGGGTGGGAGAGGGCGCAGGGTTCTTGCTCATAGCGTCACCAAGGTCGGTTCACAGACCAGTCCGCGATGACAACTTTGACAGGGATGTGGCGCAGGCGCTTGCGCCCTTCACACGTCTCCAGGTCACGGGAGGTCTGGGTAAGGGGAGCCCCTTTTTGCTTTGATCAGCCTTTCAGGGCAAATCGGCCCATCTCTGAACGTGTGGGCACACTGGTGGGCTCCTGTACTCAACTGTAGTACTGGGGCTTTCGCACTGTTGGGCCTGGATGGGCAGCTGTAGTCCAACCTTCAGAAACGCGGCTAAGTGCATGTTCAACCAGCAAGGGGAAGCAGAGGTGAACGGGCCCCTGCTAGTGGGAGCGAACACCTCGGCTGTGCTGGCTTTGGCACAAAGGAAGCAGCTTGCGATTGGAGACTTGTCAGAACTGAGAGCCCGTTTGGAACAGTTCACAAAGCTGAAAGGAAACCAGTTGAGAGGGTCCCAAGTTTTGACTCCTCCATGGGCCTTGCAATCAGAGATGGGTGGCAGCATGTGAAGGTGCAGCTGATGTGCAGGTCGCTTTTCACCTGAGCCCTTTGCCGAACACCACAGTCGCCGGGTTCCTGGAAATCCCAGCGATCCCAAAAGGACACCCTGACAGCTCCCTGCAGTAAAACCTCACTTGGGTTACAAGGGGCCCCTCGGCTTGTGCGCTCGAATTTCGGGCTTAGGTGGGGTACCTCGAAGGGCTCCCCGCGGAAGAGTGCGACGCAGTTCTGTCCCACTTTGACCCAGAGAGGCGGGGAATGGCGGGGAGTGCTCCCCTGTTCGAACCCTCGCGGTGACTTGCTGTGATTCGTGATTTGACGCTGAACAAAGAGCAGGAGAAAAGCACTGGTGGAGCTCAAACCTCACACCGTGCTGGGCGATGGGGCATCTCTTCATCCTTTTTGCAACCGGAGAAATTGGTGGCCTGGGGTTGGTGGTTTGCAGGTGAGGGCTTCCTTCCCAGACAAATCCGGGGTTCACATCAGCAAGCTCAGCTGCGTCTCTCGGGCTAAGGCCCCCCAATCCAACCCACCAATTGTCCCGCTACAAAAACACCGTCATTTGTTTGGGGAAGCCCACGCTAGTAGACGACTTGGCGTGAGCCAGCTTGAGCACAAAGGGGACAAAGGGTTTTCACAAGAGATGGGAGGTCCGAGAGCAGTGAAGCTTCTGGCTGAGGAAGTCAGCATTGCCTTGAACTTGGCAGTTTCTTGTGTCAACTTTCTGTCGAACCAAGAGGTCTGGCGCAATTTCAATTGGGACAATGGCGGCCACAAGGTCAAAGCCGTCCGGGTTATCTGAAGGATCGGACCATTTCGCGGCCAGGGATTTTTTCAACAAGGGGCGCAGCACGGCCCGGAATTCCAGGGCCCAAGAGATGGGCTTGGCGCGTTTCGGCAGAGACATTTGGAGCCGGCCGTTGGTTTCAGTTGGGGTCCCATGAGGCGGCGGGAGCTTTTGGAGCTGCTGACTGAGGAGCTCCGAGCGGCTCGGCGCACTGGCATCTCACCAGAGGTCTGGTTTCCTCGAAGTGTCCTTTCGGGTAAATGACTGGTTGAAAATAGGCGGATTCCATCAAACAAACTGCCGGAAGATTTCAGGTGTAAGCCACCCGTCCCAGAAAACAACTTTTTGTTTTGTTCGCAAGACAATGTTGATCCTGGGTTTGTATGTATGTCGCCAGGGCTTGTTTCTTGGATTGGTTTAAGTCTTATTTTCATTTCCCAGTGCCATCCATTTTCTAAACAGATGCCTAGGAGCGGTGCGCGCCTTGCCTTTCAAACTGCATCCTGATTCCTTTTCTTGGCAGGTTGTCCCGAACCCAAGCAGCAAGAACGAATTGCCCCTGTTTTCTAGACTGTGGCTCCATGAAATTTTAGCACGGAAGACGGACATCGCCAGACTGGCGTGTGACCAACCAGGGACTCCTCCAAATGACTGGCGTTGAATTCCCTCAAGCATAAACGGGATGTAGCTCGTTTTGATGTGTCATGGTCAACGGTCCTCCTCGAGGCTACTCAAGGGTGGTCATGCGCGACGTCCGACTTTTGGTTGGTTTTTACTTGGAAGCCAACAGCCCCACAGCTTTGACAAGCTCCGCTTCGGCAGAGCTTGGTTTGTTCTAAGGCGGGCAGAGGTTGGGTTCCATGTGAATCTGCACGCGTCACCCGCACCTTTGCGGCGTTTGATAGTCCCGGTGTTGCTACGCTGCAGTTTTGCCCGCCACAAGGTAGGCTGGTTTCAAGGATGCAGCTTTTGACCATGGCTGGTACAGTATCAGGGTATCCATCTGGGTAGAGGCCTAGTTGGTTGTGTTGGCGTGGATAGTCATCGGAATCGGGCAGGTCCCCACCGCACCCCTCCCGGCTTTTGCACTTCGAGTGTCAGGGGACCTCGAGCTCCTCGTCCAGTGCCAAGGCACGGATGGGGTTGCAACAGCGCTGGCCTCCAGAAGTTGGAGTTGGACCCACGAGACTGGACGGATTTCGGCTTGATTACCGTCCAAGGGGTGGGAGCCTCACTTGGGGGTTGCTAGAATCTTTGTCAGGAGTTAAATGTAACAGCCCTGGGCCGGCGGCTCGTTTGCGGCGGTGAGCAAGACCTGCTCCATACCCCAACCCACCCAACAAGCAAAGCCGTTTGGGTGGGAGGCCTATCTCAGAAGCAAGCGCCTAAAACCAAATGCAGCTGCGAGAGAACCAAACAAAGCCCGCAAACCCTGAACTACAAATGCTGGAGCCATACACCATGACACCCCCAAGCTAAAAGGCTTAACCCGGTTTCGGGCAACTAGACCAGTTCATGCGAAACCCCGATTCGGGCTTCGGATTTCCCCGGGCCCATGGACAGGGGGCGTCAACTTGGACATGAGGCAACTGGTAACACCAGAGACGGGACCCTCCCCTCTCCTGCAAAAGGGTTTTACAGACCTATGGCATCGGATTCTTTCGTGATTCGAAACAGTCACCCACCAGTTTTGAGCCTGCCCCACATTCATCGTTTTTGGGAAGTTGGGGTTTTGACTTTGGTTTCCCTTTCGACCAAGCTGAAGCAGGGCACCCCTAAAGAAATACGGGGCCAGGCGCTAGGGTTGTCCAAGGCCAAGCCGACAGATTCGGCATCCTGTGTTTTGCGGCGTTCCCTGAAAGTGGCCCGTGCCCAATTTGAGTTGACATTCATGTGGCTTTCCTTGAGCCCTGTTTACTTCGGGTAGCTGAAAACATTGGATGCCCGGCGTGTCAGATGCTGCCCCCTCGAGTGTCGCAGTTTGGTGGCAGAGCTTTGGGCGCGGCACCTGAGAAAGTCGAGTCACTGAGTCACCAGAGGATCACCGGCCAGAGGGTTGTTGAAAGCGAATTCAAAGGTCACATTTGTTTAAGCAAAAATCAGAGGAGTGAGGAGCACATGTGTCAATGCGTGCACAAGAACGTGTATATTTCTTAAGATCCAGTTGTACATGTAACGTACATATTCACATCCACTTACAGTATCAAGCCGCTCTCGTGCTGCCAGTGGATTGGAAAGCGCTCGAGGCTTGGCTGGCACTCTGGCGGCCCTTGCGAAGCAAGGCAGGATGCGCGCACCTGGGCTTGGGGGAGCAGCCCTTCTCAAAACAACTTTTGCGGCAAGCACCGGGAGGGGGAGGGGGGTGGCTTGGACCTCTCAAGCAACAGACATCCCAGGTCTAGGGTCAACCCCACGGATATATCAGCTACTTGTTGAGTGGGGCGGTCGTCCAAGTAGTGGGGAGCAGTCAAAACACCCGAAAACAGCCAACACCGCACCCTACAAGCAACAAAGGCAACCAAAAGCAACCACAACTAGCCATGGCAAGCCATAGCCAACCAGGACTGCTCACAACCCGTGGCAACCAACCACAACAAAGCATAGGCAACCGCAAGCCATTCATAGGCAACCACAAGCAACCAGAACCAACCATAGCACAGTACAGACCGGAACCAATTTTCCCCCCCCCTCCCAATAAACTAACAGAACCAACCATGACTGCTCCCAAATCCCAGCCATCCATGACCAACCACGACCAAGCATAGCCAACCAGCCTCACCAAAAGCAACCAGAAACCACAAAGGCCATCAACGCCAGCCACAACCAACCATATCCAACCACAAGCAGCCCTATGCCACGATGACCAGCTAGAACCAAACCCTAGCCAAACAGAACCAACCACAACCAGCCGTCCAACCAAGCCGCTCGCCCGCCCGGCCGTGCCTCTTGATTCTTTGCGTGGGCTGCCAAAAATGCCAACCTGCCAAGGTGGAAGGGAACCTGCTGTGAGTCAGGGCTTGCTCACCATGCGCAGGACACCTTCCCAACGGCAGGTGCAGAAAGGTGTGTCCAACATGCCCTTGTCAAGCAGCAATTCATTTGAGAGTTGATCTAAAGGTCCTTGCTTTACAATATGAAGGGGACGACCATTTGGTACCATCCATGATCCCCCGCGAAAGCTCCGCGATGGACTTCGCGAAAGTAATTTTTTTTTTCGCGAAAGTTTTTCGTGCATTACGTGAATCACTGGTCTTATAGGACCTCGGACATATGGGATTGGGTATGTGGTTTTCATGCGAGCGGACTTGCTGACAGGGGGCCTGTGTGCAGCGACAGGGGGCCTTGAAGAGCGACACCCCAGCCAGCCATGACAGCCAACCACAACACATGTTTTGACCGCCGCACATATGGGACAGTGCCCCGCTAAAGTGTTGAGGGCCCCTTTGGGCCCGCGGATGAATCCAACTTGTCAGCCACATTTCCACCAATGTTTGGCGCAAGATCCGCGAAAGTTTCGCGAAAGTTCATGGACCTCTCAGCCCGCTTCCGCACATGGCTGGCCAACGGGGCTGCTCCTGCCAAGACAGTGGGCTAGCACTTCCACTTCCGGGAGCAGCACAGACAGTGCTTCAGACTAACGGCAACCAAGCCAACGCAGCTAAAATTTGGCTGCGACTTGCTGTTGCGCTTCTGCTCATGAACCACCACAGGGTTGCGTCCACTTGCAGTTTTATAGGGAACTCCATATGGCACACAACACATGACCCCAGCGCACCCATTGTTCGCATACGAGCAATACGAGCTGGGGCAAACTTAAGGGGGGCGGTTGCCTTACGATGTTCTATACAACAAACCTGCCGGCAGGGCATGGGTATGATTATCGGCGCCACCAATAACACCGTGTTCGTAGTCCTGGACATTCTTCGGCTTTCGCAGTTCCAGTTTCTACTTGTGAAAGGGGTGGTTCTCGTAAGGGTAGCTGCGCGATGAGGGTCGCGAAAGTTTCGCGAAAGAGAAATTTTTTTTCGCGAAGAATGGCCGTTCCAGGAACAAGGAATTTAGATCAACGGCCATTTGGCTTCTTGTAGGTTCAAGCTCGTGTGGCAGGAGGCCATTAAAGAGGGCCAGGTCATGAATCTTCACAGGCATTGATCATGCCAAACTACAAGTATGGAATCTTGAAGGGGTCTGTGGAAAAGGGAGGGAGGACCCTCACGTTCCGGATGGTTCGTGGGTTGCCAAACACTTGGCCGCCTGGAGGCATCTCAGAAATGGCGCCTGAGGCTGGCCCTGGGGGGTTGGTCCAAACGCGGCAGACCACGGCTTTCGTAATGAACGCGCCTTTGTTGAAATGACCTGTCATCTTACTATTTCCCAACAGCAGAAGGGGATGGGCCAATTTAATTCGGTATTTTTTCTAGACCCCTGTTTTGCACTCGGTGCGTTTTGGGGTTTGGTGGCTGCAGTGGGCCATCAGCAAGCACTTTCGACTCCCTGGCCAAGCCAAAAACTTCGAGCAATCCCCACCCTCCACACTCACGAGCTTACGACCGTGAACACGGTTGTGTGAATTCAAGCATGATTTTCGAGTGGCTTGGGGCCTATGACTGCTCAACAAGCTTTGCATTGAGAGCCTTATCCACCTGTCTGCAAACTCCACTTGTCTGGGAGCCGATCTCGAGAACTCAAACATCGGTTCCGTAAACAAAAGCCAAGCCTTTCCAAAAGGAAACCCGCCGGGGGATTAAACGAAGTTGCTTTTCACAACCCAAGCATCACCCTTTCCGAGCACACTCAAAACACGAAGGCACCAACATGAAATGTAAACCCAACTGTGCGCCGGGCGGGACATGAAGCAAATCCAGACAGGTGAGCTGCTCTGGCGGGATGCTGGCGGGATCCACTGGCGAGTACTGGCGAGCCGCCCCGGCTCGATATTGGCCGGATACTTGGCGATACTCAGCGGGATACTCGGCGGGACGCTCGGCGGGCTACTCTGGGATACTCAGCGGGATGCTCGGCGGGATCCGCTGGTGGGCTGCTCTGGTGGGAGCTACTCTGCACTGGCGGGCTGCTCTGGTGAGGTACTCGGCGGGATCCACTGGAGAGCTACTCTGGCGGTATACTCGGCGGGATCCACTGACAAGCTACTCTGGGATAATTAGCGGGATACTTGGCGGGATCTACTGGTGGGCTGCTCTGGTGGGATACTCGGCGGGATCCACTGGCGAGCCGCTCTGGCGAGGTACTCGGCGGGATCGACTGGCGAGCCGCTCTTGCGGGATACTCGGCGGGATCCACTGGCGAGCAGCTCTGGCGGGATACTCGGCGGGATCCACTGGCGAGCTGCTCTGGCTACTCGGCGGGGTTCACTGGCAAGCCGCTCTGGCGGGATACTCGGCGGGATACTCGGCGGGATCCACTGGCGAGCCGCTCTGGCGGGATACTCGGCGGGATCCACTGACGAGCAGCTCTGGCGGGAAACTGGGCGGGATCCACACTGGCGAGCAGCTCTGACGGGATACTCGGCGGGATGCTCGGCGGGATGACAGCCGAATGGCATGGCTGGTGAGGTTTGCGCACACACCGCATGGTCAGGAAGTGGCCAATGAACCAACCACCAACCGGGCATGTTAAAGAAGCCAGCATGAAACTGTTGCCATTTTGAAGGGCCCTCATTTTGGCAACCCGTAACCCTTTTGCCTAGCATACAGCCCGCATCGCTGTTGATGCGGCGCGGGTGCGTGTGTGTGTGTGTGACAGATGGGACGCCTTCTTCTGGTGATCTAGGAGATACATATGGTCCATCCCTAGAGAGTTAGGCCCGTTTTGCTTTGAGGGCGAGGGGGAAGGTGCCAAGGTTCCAGAGTCTTTTGTATAGTGTCACAAGGGATAAAGAATGAGTCCATTTCTTGACACAGCTTTTTGTTGACCTATTTATCCACCCATGTGTCCAAGGCGTCTGAATGCGTGATTGCACAAGCCAGGCTCAAGGCCGGACCCCTTCGGTGCCCTGCCTGAGAGGCCTCGCAGGCGGCGTCCAAGGGTGCGGGCACCGCCGCCTTGGAGATGAAGCGGGCAGCGGCCGCCGCCTCCCACGCGGCCGGGTGGGCGGGGAAGCCCAAGACGGTGGGATGGTTTGGGTTGGTCGGTCGGTCGGTCAGTTGTTTGTCTCCGGTTCTCTCTGTCCCTGTCTCTGCCTTGGTTTGTTTGTGTTTGTGTTTGTGCGTGCGTGCGTGGGTGTGTGTGTGTGTGGGTGTGTGTGGGTGTGTCTGTGTGTCTGTGTGCCTGTGTTTGTGTCTGTGCCTGTGTCTATGTCTGTGTCTGTGTGTGTGTGTCTGTGTGGTTGTGAGTTCGCTTGTTTGTGCGTTTGTTGTTGGTATTTGTGTTTGTGCATTTGTCTGCGTCTTTGTCTGTGTTTGTGCGTGTTTGCCTCTGTGTGTGTGTGTGCCTCTGTGTGTGTATTTGCGTTTGGCGGGGTAGTGCGTGTAAGCCCACAATTGAAAGGCTTCCAATCCGACTGGGTGAAACAACTAATTCTTGGTTGTCGCATTTCACGCCAGTGCCCAGCCCCTTTGATAGGAAGGATCAAAACAAAGAAACAAGCAACCAAACAAGCAAACAAACCAAACGCATCCCAACAAGCGACAAAGCAAAGACGAACACAGAAATAAATTTGAACCAACAGAAATGAACCATCCGAACATGTTCAACCAAGCAAGCAACCAACCAACCAACAAACCAGCCAAGCAAGCGACCGAGCGACCGACCGACCACACGACCAACAAAAGCAAAGAACAACGAAGAAACAAAGAAACAAAGAAACAAAGAAGCAAGCAAGCCAGCCAGCAAGCAAGCAAGCCAGCCAGCCAGCCAGCCAGCCAGCAAACCAACAAACCAGCAAACCAGCAAACCAACAAAGAAACCCAGGGTTGGGGCATGACGGGTTCATTTCCGTGCCAGCACGCCCCGATCTTCCCCCCGTCTCGAGGGGGCCAGCAACAGCAGCAAGGATGGCAACTAAAGCCAGAATGGCAACAGCCGCAAGACAACGCAGCAGATCACAAAACAACACAGCAAACGACATACACCCAACACAACGGACGCGACACCACACAACGCAACACAAAACACATCACGCAAAAAAAACAAACACACACACACATACCCACACACCCACCCACCCACCCACCCACCCACCCACCCACCCACCCACCCACCCACCCACCCACCCACCCACCCACCCACCCACCCACCCACCCAACCACCCAACCACCCACACACCCACACACCCACACACCCACACACCAACACACCCACACACCCACACACCCACACACCCACAAATGCACACATGCACACATGCACACATGCACACATGCGCACATGCGCACATGCGCACATGCGCGCATGAGCACATGCACACATGCACGCATGCGTACATGCACACGTGCACACATGCACGCTCGCACGCTCGCACACACACACACACAGGCAGGCACACACGCTCGCACGCTCGCACGCACAGCCAGACAACACGACACATCGCAACATATCACAACACATCACAACATACCACACCACAACAAGACAGGACACGAAAAGACAAAACACGACAAAACGCGACAACACACGACAAGACAAGACAAGGCAAGGCCAAGCAAGGGCGCGACAAGACATGGCAAGACAACGCAACACACCGCAACACAAGGCAACACCGCGCAACACCACACAACAGAACACAAGACAGCGCAACACAACGCAACACAACGCAACACAACACAACACACCACACGCACACAGACACACCAGACAATCAACGCAGACAGGACAAGACAACACAAGGGCAGGAAAAGACATCGCAAGGCAACGCAACGCAACACAGCAGCGCAACGCGACACCACATATCACGCGCACGCACACACACAGACACACCAGACAACACAACGCGACACACCACAACACACCACAACACACCACACCACAAGACCGGACAAGACAAGAAAAGACAAGACGAGGCTACGACAAGACATAGCGCGACAACACTGCGCAAGACAACACAAAGCGACACAACTCACCACCACCAGGCAGCGCAACATAACACAACCACATACTGATGTGCCATGGCCGAAGCAGCCATAATGTTACAGGGGGGGGGTTGTTAGGGTGGTCACGCCTCTCCAAGATAAGGAATGAGCCTAGGGCAGCCACGGCCATGGCCCACAGGCAGTTTTGGCCTTGGCGCAATTAGGCGTTAACTTTAATTGGGAAGAATTGTTGGACAGGAGTCCTTGCCTAAATGGTGTCCACCAACGGGCTCGGATTAAAACTCAGACTCACAGTCACAGGAGGTTCGGTCAAACTGTCTTGCGCTGGGCAGTCTATTTGGGGCACGGGGCTCGTGAAATTTTCAGCAAACTGGGCGAGACACTGATTTTCCTGGGCCCTCTTCGGTAAGAAAGTAAGTTTTGACTGAGGCATCTTCCCAGGCGCGCCAGAGCGTGGACCGGGCGGCCCACACCAAGAGCGCGCTGGGCTCAGCAAAGTCCAAGAGCTCTTTGATTTTGCGAGCGGAATCCAGGTTTCCACGCACACCGCGAGCTTACCCATCAAAAAGGCCCTGTGCTAGGCTCCCCTTCTCCGGCTGTCACTTAGCATCCTTCCAGTTGTGAACATTCTTCGCCGGCTTCTGGGAGGTCATAGGGAAGTTGGGCACTAGTACTGCCAATCTTGCGGCCCAAATCTTTGCCTTCGCGGAACCATGTGACTAGTCCAGGCTGCTGACCCAAATGAGCTGGCTTGCTCACCCAAACGAGGGTTGTTGTCCAAATGCTGAATTTGCATTCGGAGCCCACTATGAACTTTTCAGGGTGCACGCAAGGTGCGATGGCAGTTGACGGTGGTTTCTGGGTGCTGTTGGGTGTGCTCAAGGTGTTGTAGCAGTTGCTAGTGGCACTTGTTTTGCGCGTCAGTTTGGGTGCGGTTGTGAGTGCTCTTGTAGCTTCTAGCCAAGGTTTTTGCTATGGTGCTGTTGGTTCTAGTCAAGATGCCGTTTGTTCGGTGTGCTCAAGGTGCCGGCAATTACTAGCGGTGCTTCTAGGGTTTGGACATGTGTTGGGCCGTCCGCCCACGGCTTCAGAACGGGGCGACGCCCTGGTAGCAATTGATTTGTTTTTTTAACCTGAACAGTGCACTGGCTTGGCAGCCTTCAACCTGAAAGGATTGAAGCATGTTCTCACATCCTTGTCTGTTGGAAGCTCCCCTGAGCGCAGCTCGAGGCAGAGTACGCAAAAACTGCCGCGAGCTCTGCGCTGAGTCAGCCTCTCAGATCGAGGGCGAGGCTACACCGTGGCTACGCGGTTTCATTGCACCCAGTGCTTCCTGTCTTGCAGTCGCGGAAGTCGTAAATCTGGCACCTTGACAGGTGCTGCCAAGGTGGGTGTGTCCTCGGCAGCCCACCAGGCTGGGAGTTTTTACCCGGAGGGGTATTTATTTTAGGATTTTGTTTTTTCGCTTTTGGCTTCTTGGCTTTTTGGCTTCTTGGCTTTTCGGCTTCTTGGCTTCTTGGCTTTTTGGCTTCTCAGCTTCTGGGCTTTTCGGCTTCTTGGCTTTGGCCTTTCGCATCCTCTGCATTCCCAATTCCTCTTCGGCAGGTGGCATTTTGGCTTTGCGGCTTTTCGCTTGTTTATGCGGCTTGTGGCGGCTTTGGCTTTTTGCATCCTCTGCTTTCCCAGTTCCTGTCCGGGAAAATTGGCTTTTGCGCACTTTCATTGGTTTTTGGATGTGGCGCATCATCAGCATCACCAGTTCCTCCCTATTTGAATCATCACTTCTTCAAACATCATGGGGGGGGAAGCCCGCTACTGTTTAGATTGCTTGCAGAGTAATTGCACCCCTATTTGAATGAACGCTTCTTCAAACATCATGGGGGGGGGCTGCCGCCTCCCCCCCGCTACTTTTTGGATTTATCTTGCTCGGATTGAATTGCACCCCTAGTTCAATCATCACTTTTCGAGCGTCCAATTTCGCGAGAAAATGCTGCAAGATACAACATTTTAGGTATTCTGTGTAATCCATGTATGTCTGTATGTATGTACTTCTTTGAACATCATAGGGGAAGCCACCCCCGCCAACCCTCCCGCTGCCTTTTAAATTCTATAGCACCCTTTCTTGAATCATTGCACCCCTACTTGAATCATCACTTCTTCCGACATCATGGGGGGGCTGCCGCCCCCCCCCAACCCCCCCGCTACTTTTTAGTGTCTTTTTTTTTACAGGGATTGAAATGCCCTCCTATTTGAATCATCATTCTTTGACCCCGTCAACCCGCCAGCTACTTTTTTGATTTTTTTACCCACGATTTGTTGGTGATGCTAGGGATGTTGGTCGGACATGCGGGGGATGTTGAAAACGATGCTGGTGATGTTGACGGGCTTGTGTAAAATGCGTCAATTTCGCGAGAAAATGCTGTAAAATACGACATTCTACTGGCCCGGACGGATTTTTTTTTTAAAAAATAAAATAAATAAATAAATACATAAATCCGCACCCACCGGAACCCATGGGCACTTTGGACCGCGGGTTTACTCAAACCCCAATGCGGAGTCAGGGTTTCATACCAATTTAGAGTGTCCGTGTGCTGACTGACGCATTGCGCCTCCCATGGTTCAGAGCTGCTCTCAGGCCGAGGCGGCCCGCACCTCGAATCCGCTCGGGATCGAGTCACCAGTGTGTTCAGCTGAGGTGGCCGGGGCAGCCCGGCACAGCGTCACACACATGGTGAACACGAGCCTTGGCTAAAGATGTGGGCTAGGTGAGTTTGTCAACAACACATGGCGAACTCAGTTGTTTCAGCGCCACTTTGGCAAGGTCTCCGGCAGCCGGCAGCTCTGCCAGATTGGAGTGAAGCTCAGACATGGTTTCAGGAACCTCCCGGCTGGCCGCCTCCCGGCTGGCCGTGTTAAACTGGGCATGAAGACGCTTGTCTGTTTCGTTTGGGAGCGCAAAAGCCGTCTGGTTGGGATATCTGAGCTAGCCGAAGGCCACGGTTGAAATTCGGGATCCGTCCGTGCCCAACCCTTTTCGCCCAAAGGCCTAGCCATGCCTCATTGCTGCCCGCTTCCTTTTGCCGCGCCCGATGAACCAAATTCGCCGAAAAACCCGGTTGTGTGAGCACCTCCGTGTTTCCTTTTGCCCCAGGCGCGGCAAGTGACCACCGACGCCAAGCAGAAGGTCACCGGAGCTGCCGAGGTAGCCAAGGAGCTGCGTGCAGCGCGGGCTGCTCGCAATAGGGACGGGGGGTCCACGTCAAAATGATTCCCAGAGTTTCCTTGAAATGGGAACTGATCTCACTCCTAAAGTTGGAACTTTTGGGGAAAACCATGTTGCCGGTAAGCAACAAGTTTTGACCTTTTTTGCTGCTCCAAAACCAGGGGGGTTTGCCCCTTCGGATGTCGCAGGAAGGGCTCGCCTCCGTGTCCAAGGGCATGGCGAGCTTTTTCAAGAACAGATGAGAAAACAATGAGAAATTGCTGGGAATATTGGTACTATATTTTATTTACAAAAATGAATATTGTATTACATACGACTATTGATTAAAACATCTAAATTTTGAATATTATTTTTCAATATATGTATATTTGTTGATATATCTAATGGTTATTGATGATTGAAATAACTGTTACATATATTTTCACATATATATATATATATATATAAGTTACATGTTTGTTTAATATAAAATCCATTTGTATATTTACAGTATATCATTATTATTATTATCATTATTATTTAAATTTTTTATATTTGTGCTTAACTAAAAGATGGGTGGCCCGAAAGCATGAGCAGCGGCGGCAAATTCTCCTAGCAATCCTAGCAAGTTCTCCGTGTAGTTGCGCATCTGAGCAAGTTGTTGGCGCGAGTTCTTCGGAGAAAGTTCTCCAAGCAAGTTCTCTTAGCAAGTTGCTCTGAACAAGTTTCCTCTATTCGCGAAATACTTTCGTACTTAAGAGTTGCGATTTTCCAGCTGGAGCTGCCGCGGACCTGGGGGAATGGAACCCGCGACCGCGGGATTGCGAAAGCAGGCGCGCAAGCCACGAGACAATTTCCAAAGGCCATTTCGCAAGGAAATCGCACGACACGCGTGATCTCCGCAGAAGGTCCGCCGAGACTAAGACGAATTCGCACGGCACCACAGCGAGAGCGCGTCGACGCACGATCTCCGCAGAGGCTCGCTCGCGCACCGCAAGGTTTTTTGACATCGACCACGCGGATCTCCGCAGAGCGTCGCGCGCGCCCTGCAAGAATCGTAAAGTCCTCAGTTTTTTAACCTCGACCACGCGGATCTCCGCAGAGGGTCGCGCGGGCACCGCAGAAACCCGTGAAAAATCCGCAGTTTTTTAACCTCAACCACGCGAATCTCCGCAGAGGGCCACGCGCGCAGATCAGAAATCGTGAAAAATCCTCAGTGTATTAACCTCGACCACGCGGATCTCCGCAGAGGGTCGCAATCCCGAGCGATGATCAAACTCCCACCCCGGCGCCTTAGAAACCTAAACTAACTTACATAGCTGCTTGCGCCGAAGCTCTACGCAAGCTCTACCTAACCTTGGCTCTGTGCCACTTGGCTCTGTGCCACTTGGCTCTGTGAATTGGCTCCATGCAATGCAATGCAGCTTGGCTCTGTGCCACTTGGCTCTGTGCAACTTGGCTCTGTGCCACTTGGCTCTGTGCAACTTGGCTTTGTGCCACTTGGCTCTGTGCAACTTGGCTCTGTGCAACTTGGCTCTGTGCAACTTGGCCCTATGTAACTTGACTCTGCGCAACTTGGCTTTATGTAACTTGTCCAAGGGCCCCGCGTGAAAGAACCCTTCGCGATGCTTTCGGGAAAAGTATATTTGAAAAAATAGTTAAAGATATAAGAAGATAGTTACCATCATATATAAATAATTCTCGAACTTGGTGGTATTTATCGTTGCTGATGCAGGATATGAATATCGCATTTCTTAAATGTATTTTTTTATATACTATATTTATATTTTAAGACTTTTTAAAATATTTAATACTACATTATTAGGAACATATATTGAAATATTAATTGCATATTAGAATTATAGAAATTAATATTTAATATCTATGAAAAATTTTAATGTAATACATGAATTAGAACTGTAATATATAATGTTTTTTAAGAACAGGTTGAAAATTAAGCAAAAATGTATGGTTTTGATTTATTGAATGCGAATTATTTTTGTTTCTTATAACTTAATAAATTTATTGATAATAAGTTGAAAACAGAAATTGTTTGACTATATTATATAATTCTATTTCCTTTTAGTTACTATAGATTGTCTTTTTTACAAGATTGTTTTTAATAATTCATTTCCCGAATTTTTAATTTTAAATTGTTATTCTTCTATTATATATAGATATAGAACCGCTATCTATACAATTTATATAAGAAATCTAGTTTTTGAGAAACATATAACATTTAGATATTTTAGGATAAACCCCCAATCTATCTACCATTAATTTCGACAAAATACATTCATACTGTAGTAGCATCCCAAACTGCATATTACCTAATATTCGCCATTCATGTCATAAAAAATATACCTATATCAGTAGCAGCACCTGCATTAGCACGCTAAAGTGGATATACTTCAACGCCTGGCTATGAATTTCATAAAGCTGCATTCGAACGCCACTAACACCTTAAATAGCACCCAAGGTATAATCCTATATCTATTTAAACACTGCTTTTTCTTTTCAATTAATGGATTAAACTATTTTTGTATTCACAATTATTAGTTTTAAAGTCAGAATAGTATTTATAAAAGTTATTAATATATTTCTAAAAATGAAGGTGTATTAACGAAAGCAGTATCATAAATTAGTTATCAATTTATTATGAACATTATTTGTGTTGGTTTTTGGTTCCGCTAAACGGGAACCTAACGCCATCGGAAACCACGTAGTTTGCCGCGGGCGCATTGCTTAGATAAATGCTCTTCTAAGTATGAATAATCTTTATTTCCATTTTGTATATATGTATACTTGTTAAAAATTACATAAACTTATTGCCTACCGCAAGCGCATTTCCTAATCCGAACATACTGCTTATTTCAAATATATTTCTTTTCACGACCATATGTTTCGTTTTTTTTTGCAACTATATTTCTTATTCTAAATAAACTTTTACAAGTATATTATTTATTATGTTTTGCTCCTAAAATGTATTTTGCTACAAATACCATAAAATCAAATTTAAGATGGCCAAAACATATACTTTTTGGTAAGAGGCCCCAAGTAATATTGGGTTTATTTTGACAACTGGTGGCCCGGTAAGATCAAAAGTAGTACGCGCAGCGCGCTTCCGCAGTCAAAAGTAGTATGCCCAGTACATTTCTGCAGCTAAAATCGACAGCCTTCTTGCGCAGCCAAACTGCACGCAGATATGAACAAGAGAGGTTGGCAAGAAAAAGGAAAATGAAAGGTTGGGTGAGAGAGGTTGCGCAGCATCATGCGCGAGAGGACTGTCATGCGTAGCATCATGCGCAGTATCATATACGGCGTCGTGCGCAACGTCACGCGCAGCATCGTGCGCAACATCATGCCTGCGCAGCATCATGCACAAGATCACGCGTAGCTTCACGTGCAACAGCGTCAAACACAGCGTGCGCGCAAGAGAAGTTGACACGATGTATTTTTCGAAGCGCGGCGCCGAGCTTGCTCATCAGAACTTGCAGAAGCCACGCAGAGACATTAATATGTTTATGCTTGTTTCTCACCCGCGGTGGGAGAAGTGTCAGAGTTCAACATCTTTCTCTATTTAGAACTTGCGATAGAGCAGCCGGCGCTCTGGGTTGGCTCTTCGCATGGAACTTTCGTAATTAAAATTGAGATTTTCAAGGCGGAGCTGCCGCGGACCAAGCAAATAGAACCCGAGCCAACGCGCGATTATGAAAACATACGCGCAAACCACGAGATAACTTCCAAACACCGATTTGCAAACAAGCAGAACAGGAAAATCGATCGGCCTCACAGCGAGAACGTTTCGACACGCAGGATCTTCGCAAAGGATTTTGCACGACGCCGTAGCGAGAGCGCTTCGACACACAAGATCTCCCACAGCAGGAGCGTTTTGACACGCAGGATCTCCGTAAAGGGTTCGCCGAGAGGAAGACGCATTCGCACGGCGCCAAAACGAGAGCGCTTCGACACGCACAATCTCCGCAGAAAGCTCGCCGAGAGCAAGGCGAATTCGCACAGCGCCACAACGAGAGCGTTTCGATACGCACAGTCTCCGCAAAGGGGTTCGCCGAGCTTAAACCACATTCGCACGGCACCTCAACAAAAGCGCTTCGACACGCGCAATCTCCGCAGAGAGTTCGCCGAAGTCATGACAAATTCGCCGCACGTCGCCGCACGTCGCCACAACGAGAGCGCTTCGACACGCACGATTGGTTGGTCTCGCAACCCCATAAATGAGTGGAGGGCTGCTCTTCTACGAAATTCGCAGATCTTGTTTATGAAAATGCTGCGCCTGCCACGCATCCTAAACCATCAATGTTGTGGGTAGATGCGTCTACATCTTCTCGCCATGATTTGGGAACCCTTCAAAACCCGCTCTTTGGTTGTCAAGGTCCTTTGCGACGCAACTGGGCAGCACTTCGCGATTGTCGTTGTGGGTAGATATATTTTCCTGCGTCCGGCCATGACCTGGAAACCTTTAAGACACGCTCTTTGCTTGTCAAGGTCGCTTGCAATGCGACTAGGCAGCACTTTGGGGTGTTGCTGTGGGTAGCTGCATTTTCTCAGACTTTCCTGACAACACGGTGCTTCGCATTTGCGTGAGCCCGAAAAATGCACTTAGGCCCGGCCAGAACCTAGGAACCCTTCAAGACATCGAGGTCTTTATCGACTCAACTGGCAGCATCGGGAGTATTGTTAGGGTAAATACGTTTTTCCAAACCAGAAAAATTCATCTGGGTCCGGTCAGGACTTGGGAACCCTTTGCTTGTCAAGGTTGTTTGCGACGCGAGTGGGCAGCTTTTTGGGGGCGTTGCTGGGGGTCGATGCGTTTTCCCGAGCCCGAAACACGCATCTACCCGATCATGACCTAAAACCTTTTCATTACGCTCTTCGCTTGTCAAGATCCCGAACAACGCGACTAGGCAGCAGTTCGGGGGTACCGTTGTGGATAGATACGCTTGCGCGAGCCCGAAAAATGCATCTGGGCTTGACCATGACCTAGGAACCTTTAAAATATATGCCAGCCCCCGACGGGGCAACACTTTAGGGGTGGCTGTGGGTAAATGCGTAGCCCGGCCATGTCCTGCAACCCTTTCAACCACGCTCTTCGCTTATCAAGGCAACGCGACTAAGCAGGCATTTGCTTAAGCCCGAAAAATGCACCAGGCCCGGTTATGAGCCAGGAGCCTCAAAAATTCGCTTTTTACTGGTCAAAGCCCCTTACAACGTAACTAGGCAGCACTATAACGAGCCTACGAGAAGACTAAGGGCAAAATATGGG